AGCGGCGCTGGGATCGTTGTGTTCACTCCCAGGGGAACTACTTCGAGGGTGATGGATGAATTTAATACCTGAGATAAGTGTACGGGTTTTTATAGGCGCAGTCTAAAAACTTTCCGATCGCACCTCGTACGTGTATGCGCAAGAAGAACGTTTTCCTCTTCGCCGGTAGCACCGCAATGACAACTCGCGTGAAGTCTGAAGACTGAACTAGCACAATAATATCTCTCTGTGACTCTCATATTTACTTGCTCAAATTTATCTTTGCTCGGGTTGTGACAATTGATTATAATTACCGATGGTCATCACATGGTGCTAAAACATACTGCCTTCATCCTCAAGTAGGAATTCGAATTGTTGGTAACCACAAACAAGTCAACAGAGCTTCGCAACTCTGAAGACCACTAAGGGAATCTTTACTGCCAAAAGAACCTAAAATTTCGTATGATCATTCTTAAAAATTATTTGTACCACTTTATGCAGAAATCAGAGCTCGTGTCTGTGGTGTATAAAAAAGTCGGTTGTTTATTGTCTCCATCACCCTGGAGTTTTGGCTTTGTGGCAATAAAACGGATTACAGTCGATACAGAAAGTGCTACGAGCTCTTAGTTTATTTTATTGTTAAGTGTTTCTTCATGACATGGAAGTGATTGCCCAGAACATTCTTCTGTGAGCTAAACATAAGTGTTCGTAACTCAGAGATTTAGCTCCGTTGCTGTACAAAGCAGTAAAACGTCTGTGGTTACTATTGGTTGTTAGAGGTGCCATGAATGCTGCATGGAAAAATGCAGCGTCTGACTCGCAGAGGAGGAAAATATAAATAAAAGAAATATACAGAGAGTGGAGGTAAAGGTATGTTGGTACTGAAATGGTCGTTTGAAATACGCACCTAGGTATGGTATGGCGAAGAGGCCTGTAACATTGTTCAACGAAATATTTATATTATACAGGAGATACAGTAAGCCTTCTGAGTTTGTGGTTTACATTCATTATATTATATCACGTTGTTAGCACAACCACCTATCGAAACGCGTGATACGTTTTAGTTCCGAAAGTTTAAATTATTAAAAAAATTAAGAAAGTTCTTAGGAACGTAATTTTATATGTAATTCTTATGAATGAGAAAGACAGTTTTTCATTTTGATCTGAGATAAGAGGTGATGAGGTCTATGAACAACATATAGAGGAGAATATTTGAGCGTCATAGATAAGAACCAAGTTCGGTCCAAGAAAATTACATGAAGATTATGTTTATCGTTGTAATCTTCTACTACTTTTGCTGGGGTAATAGAATTAAGATGGATCAGGTGGATGGTATCGAAAAAACTAGTCTGTTCAAATTTATATGTAAAAGAGTGGAATAGACTACCTGCGAAAGATAAGAGCATGTTGCATGTTGCTGTTAAAATTAAGCTTAATCATGGGTAACTATGTCGAAAAGGTGTTAACTGGATTACGGTCGATAGGAATAGGACGATGTCTGATGGGCTTCTGTGATAACGGTAAGTGATATTTGAGTTAATAAGAAATCTCTTGTTCAGACTCTTATTACAGAATTCAAGAAGACACCATTTCATATGCAGTAATATATTTACCCATTTTACAATTGTTTCTTTGTATTTGATCTATGCTAGAATTATTTCTAATGCTACATACTGGGTATTAAAAGTCTCCATTCATAGTTTACTTAAAAGAGCAAAGAAAATAATTTCGTGTTATTATAATAAATTGAATTGAATTGAATTATTTAAAACCTGATGCGATACGTCGAGCAGTATGCCCTGATTTCTGATTTAATATTGCTGTTTCCTGGGCTTGATACATCGTGCAGTTTCCTAATACAAGACCACTACGTTTCGGGAACATTCTCTGCTCCCATGAACAGTGTGTCATGATTTTTAATAAGCACAGCGCCATAAAGACATGTGGAGACAAGGTATAGCAACACACTTTGGCATCGGCGTTGAATAGGAGTGAGCGGTCAGCCTCACGCTTCGTTGGCCTTACCTCAAGTGAAAGAATCAATGAATCGATTAGTTAGGGTCTCGGGAAAAGAATAGGTTCCTCCGAAACGTTCGTACCCACTCACAAGTACATTCGGTGCCAGAACCTGAAAGAAAGATATTTTCATCTTCATTGTCACGAGAACCTCAGATCTGATACAGAGGAAGGTTATTTTCTTGTCTTTGTTTCGAAAACGATGTCGAAATGAGGCATTGTATTCATATTCATAGCTGTTAAAGAACATATCGTATGATAATAATATATGTTTAAAATCGACCGTAATAACATATATAAATTATGACTACTTATCATGAATAATAAATACTTTATTGTCATAAAGTTTAGATGTAAATCCGGCGATGATATATCTACTATTTTCTCATGTCGTCTGATCAAAAGTTTTAAATGTAACGTCTTAATCGGAGTGAAAGATAATTTTGAGACATTATATCTATTTCTTAAAATAAGGAGAATGATTATTTTCTTTCATTTTTAAATGTGGTACAATGTGGTCTTTGTGTAAGACACACAAGTCATCGTACCAAATCATCGTTACGTTGTACAATTGTAGTGATAGCGATGCGATGTTCTCTTTGTCACAAACCGAACGATTCATGCGTTTGCTTGTAATGGAATGATGAAATATATGAACAGAAGACGCTTTACCAAAATACGCATCAACAATCAGTCTTTCCTCGCGTGGTCTCTCGAGTGGTCCAATTATAGAAACGAAGTACGAGGTAGGCAGGCATTCATGGGATATCTGGAGGGCACTTGATGCGTCATTCAGGATCCCAACCCGGGATAAAGAGAACAGCAAGAATAAAAAAAGGATCGAGTAAATCCATACGACGAGGTTTACACTGTGTCCGCGAATGCCATCGGTTTAGGGCTCTGAAACTACGGAAAAAGATGATTTTAAATTAAAAAACGCTCTTGTAAACCGAATAATAATTCAAGGGAAGAGCTTCGGAGATATCCGATGTATAGGGCTAGTGGGTCACGGTCCATCACTCAAAATGTTATCGTGAACAGTAATTAGTAAAGCTGAACTTAGCTTTACGAAATTAGTTTCTTCCCTGATGCTAACAAACACAGGTTGCTAAGCGACTACTCTCTCTCGAATAAACAACATAAATGAAACAAATTGTGATATCATGGCACACGTACTGACAAACGCATACAAATCTTAATTGCAGAAATAACAAGGGATGTAACCAGTGCTTGTTAAAGATCAATGCCTTAGTACAGCGCGGTGTACGGAATGAGCACTAAATTTAATTAGGACTAAAGAAACTTAGATTGACTACTAGCTTAATTGATAATTTGTAAGATATAGAGTCCTTTTGAGGCTAGTGTATGAAGGAAAATGAGAAAGAACAGACTAGGAGAGTGATGTGGTATGATTACAAGTAAAAAGTCTGGAGGCAAGAGAAATTTATGTGTAAGATTTTGTAGTTTAATATATGTAAAATATTTCTCACTTGAAGCATTTCGTCTAGGAATATATTTAGGATAATTGTCTGTGGAACATTAGTTCCTCTACGGAAACTGATAGTAGCTTAATTGGTTAAGATATTCCCCACTGTTTTAGGACCTGGAAGTTTGTAATCTCGTTCACAGGAGCCCCCCAAACAACTCTCACATTTTACAGCTGTAAGACGGATTTTTCCACTAGCCTCTGCATTCAGACCGGCTCTGGGTTCCACTCAGCCTCCTATCCAAAGGTTACCGGGTTCTTTCCCAGGAGTAAAGCGCAGCAGGGGCGTGATGCTTACCATTCACCCCCATCTAGTGCCGAGGTTAAGAATGAGTAGGAGCTATACATCTCCCCTCCCCCAAGCGAGTACATGGCGTATATAGAGTCAGCTTTACATAAGGCCTAATTTACTATGACATGTTCAGATTTTCCTATTGGACAATATAGCATAAAGCTGTGTTTATAAACTTTTGTCGTATCGTGTATACACTCCCGATTAAACTTGTTTGGTACTCCTCCCCCACATTGTCATAATATTACTAAATGTGTTTTTAAACTAAATTATAGAAATGAGGTACAGTTTTTCCATTGTAATGGAAAATAATTAAAAATTGTCGCAGCTCACTTGCTTCTACTCTTGTAACGTAAGGTAATGCAGCACCAAAAGACAACATAAAATAGGCGGGTTTAGTTGTGACACAAATTTGCTCTATCCGTGAATGTATAATATATTATAGTCTGGAAAGAATAACGTTTATGAAAAATTCACGGACCCCTTAGACACGGCATGAGAATTGTCGACTGCGGAACATGGCGTGAAGGATACATCAAGGGCATATGAAACTTATCTTCATTTTAAGCAAGAGTATTTATATGCACTGGCCCTGGAAACGATAATTTCGAGGTATGAGTTTTCGGATAATGATAATTCCATTTCTCGAGCTTTTATTGGGAGTCCATGAAGAGACTTTTCAAATGAAGAGAAAAGACGAGAAAATAATAAAATAAGTCGCTTTTGGTTGAGAAAATCACCTGATTGGAAACTTCTCTGTTTTGCGATTCTCTATTCTTTATTTTATCTGTAAGTAAATTGATTTTGAGTTAAATCTGTGAAGACAAAGGGAGAAGCCTTTTAGGAAGAAAGGGGAAACACGGAATGTTAATGAGGGTCAGCACAAGGGAAATTTTAGTCTATTGTGTTTTCAGGGTGGCACGAAAAGTATTAATTTGGAAGTAGTTGCTTCAGGCGTGAGAAAAAATTAACAAAACGGATGATTAAGGGCCACTTTATAACGAGTTTTGATTATGAATACAAGGTGTTCCTGGAACTGACTGGAATCGCGATAAATGGCAGTTTTTGTTGCCTGTCTATTTAACATTGTAGTTTATAATTTTCTGTCCACAGTTTGTCAGTAGAGAGACGTATTATTTTGGTGGGGGTAGATGAGAAATTACGGAGAAAGAGAGAGAAATTCTGAGAAGAATTTACAACACATACTTTCCTTAAAATGCTTTATAAAGCATAAAAATGAACATATATAATTTATGCAATATGAATAGCAAGGTCTCTTAATCAATAATTTTGCAATTTAGTGATCTATTTCTATGTAGAATTTGCTGATTCAGGTAGTCACACCTTCATACCATTGCCATATTTGTAAACACTAACATAAAAAGTGTTTCACTCAAACCTGGACTCGTGTTTGCAATATTTCTCCTTAAAAAGATTTTGCATTCCAAAATACAATTGTTTATCAGTTATCGTCAACAAATTAAAGCTAACTATACTATATTTTTTGTGGCCGATATTAGACACGAAAAGGACTTAATGCTTATGTATCCATGAATCGGTAAGCACGGTTTGGTCTGAAAGATAGTATGTCAGGTAAGTTATGAAAGCAATTAGAATAGGAAAGGATATAAATTATAGTCATACCACGAGAATACCATAGGCTAATATAAGCTGTGATGAACTCAGCATTTTCTACAGTCGGCAAAACTTGATTTTTAACGTAACCTTTGTCCTGTGTGTGTGTGTGTGTGTGTGTGTGTGTGTGTGTGTAAGTGAAAACAGGCATTACGAATTTAGAATCAGAAAATCCGTCCGCCATCTTATCCATAACAATGCAATTTTTCTTGTTTCGCTACAAATCATTATAATCATAATTTGTGGGCCTAATTCATAATTATGAGTAGTCCTTCAGTATTAGTAAAGAGAAGTTTTATGCTCGTCTTTAGTGCAGGATTACGAATGTGGTGCATATGTAGATTATTGTACCACTGAAAACTTATCATATCTGTATACCTATATGATTGTGTATCTGTGGGATTTACCGTAAATATACAGAAGAGAACAGGATTTTTTGATACTTCTCCCAGGCGTTTAGACAAAAACAGACACAAAAATTTCTGATAGCATTTGGCTTGTATGAATGGAAGTATTTCTGAGCGGATACCACGTACTTGTTCATTATAATTTTATTTATATTACTGAGAAGTGTATTTGCAAATGAAGTGAGAAATCATCTAAATTTCAGACCAGATTTGAGATTTTCATGGCGGTTTCAATGTGGATAGGAGTCTTCTTGGTTATTATACCTTGTTTTAACCAGAAGATGGAGAATATACATCTCCCTACAATTTTGATAACCAAGTTTGAGACTACACTGCATCACAACTCAGAATACCATAATCAAATCTCGAAATGTTCAAGATTGTATACTGTTGTTGCTAAAATCCATTGACGTCTACATATATGACGACCATACTTGACAAGTCACGTCGTCCATCAACATGAATTATTCAATATTTTAGCTCTTCCGTCTTTGTAGCTGAAGGCATTCTTAGTTTATTTTTGTCTTATTTATTTATTCTCGGAGTATGATAGTTCGCTGACACTTGTCTATTTCAGAAGAGTGGTATAAATGGCAGGCTCTACAGGTTACTGGAATGACGAACACGATCTTCGTATCTCTATATATAACAAAGCCACTGACAGAGAATGAGTTCGGGATTATTTGGTTATATTTTATTCGGGACCAAGGACAGCTTCTGACCATCATTCTCATTAATGACCTAACATATCTCTTTACTCAATAACCTAAGAACTTGCAAATACGAAAAATTTTAAAGTAGGCATCGGCTTACAAGTTTACACGCTGATACTATTCTTCATGTACCGTAGGTTATTGCAACCTACGTTAAGCTGCCAACCGCATTTTTAAGTCTTCCGTCTAATTTCATAGTTATTCTTCTTCTTATTATTATTATTATCATCACAAATCCTTCGATATCACATACTAAGTGTTTGTGTGAGAATTTCATTATGATAAAGGCATAGCAATATGAATGCCATATTTGCACCATTTTCGATGTGACCGAGGAGCCATTTTTATGCATATTTATATTCTCTGCTCACCCACATATAAATTACAACTGGGCAGACATTGAAAATATTCACAAATCTTGCGTATACACCTCGCAGTTGCCCAAACTGGCAACAAACTAATTTTGTTAGACCAACCCATTCCAGAGTCTGTTCAGAGATATAAAAGCCGGTTCTGTAAACAGCACTGCTATTTTATTCAGTCCGTATATTTCAGAAAATAAATGATGAACATCCCTTACACTCCAGTTTTTCATTAATAAACGAAGGGGTCCTATATGCCAGGGGGGGGGGGGGCTACTTGAATGTATGGGCGCAGTAATGATTTTATCCCAGAATTTCTTTGTAGGTCATATGCTGTATGAATAGGGAATTGTGCGCTGATTATACATTACCGCATGCACATTCCAGGCTGTCAGGATTAATCTCAGATTTATAAGTACGAACATATTGCAGAAGAGGCTTATGTTACTAACGGCACTGTATCTAATAGCACGTGAAGATGATCTGTATAGTGTAGAGGGAAGTTTTGGAAGGAAACGGTCTTGGATGACTTGAAGACTAATGTGGGGCATTGATTATTCTACGTCAAAAACTAATAATCCTTTATCATAGAGTGTATCGTAATGTGATAAATATAGTTTTATATTAATTTAATTTTAAGTAATCAAACGCTTTGCTACATATATTTAAGATTTTTATTCTCATAGGCTCAACGATGTACGGCACAAATAGCTCTGAATCAGCAATAAATTTCTAACAGACTGAACTGTGCAACATTACAGAAGACGGCCATCTTTATACTTATCGCTGAGAGGACATATTTTCTGAAACGGTAATATTTATTGACAAGACGGGGGGACAGAGATATTGTTACATATGTGCCTCTGAGTGAGGAATGTGAAATTACTTCATTAGCAAATCTTGGTCGTAATATACACTCAAGCTTTGTGGAGACGTACTTAATGAGGCACCTCTGACAGTTCGTTCCATCATAAAATCTTCCACTACCGACAGTATTTTCTCTCATTTGACCCATCCAAGAATAGTAAAACGTTTATGAGCACTTGCTGCAACGTATCTGGAGAAACGATGTTGCGCAGTGTGTAAGGAAGGCAGTTGAGGGGCTGATTCGGCTGCAGCATTACAGAGTAGTAGTAAAAGTGACTGTCTTTTGTAACACAGAGTACCCGGGTAGTCACAGAAGCTCTAGCAACTGAAGTTAATAATTCTGGGACAATGCCCAGTTAGTGGTAACAGCATGGCGATATTACATGTTCCTGAGAGGCCGACGCCTTGACATATAGAAGCTTACGTTTTTCATGCAGAATTTGTTTTAATTGTGTTGTATTAATGCTTTTGTTAAAAGTAAAGGCGAAAAATGTTGAAATATAATTCTGATCTCTTCGTAAATTTAATATTTATTTTCAGGTCCTGGAGCTCCGCACATGAAATAATTTAGAGTTTACTTGGGAATCATGGATGAATGGTTTATGTACGATGGATTTTCGAAAAACACAAGCCTCAACTACTCTTCACAGATTAATCAATTTTTCTTCCTTTATGTGTCCTGTGACTACGTGTCTAATTCATTGCAGCAGATACCAGTAAAACCTTGTCATTTATCCTGCATTATTTATACAATTAAATTATAATTTGCGAAAATTTACTTACAACGAAGACGTGCAATAAACAGCTATGCTTACCGTGGTTAAAGAGGAAAAGAAAGGCTTACAAATTGTCTAGAAAAGTGATAACGTAATAAGTTTAAGGAACAATTGCGTGGTAGGTCGATGAAGCCGCATAGCTGCCAAAACTATGACATTGTCCATCACGTATGTTACATTTAATATGCACGACGTTGCGGGAGTTTGCTCCGCTACTGTATTTAATAGTTAAAGCGTGAACCAAAAGACAAAAGTGTCAATTTTATTCAAACCATCGTCAATAATATTTAAAATAGTAACGAATGTTTAAAAATTTGTCAATT